TTAAAGCCTATCCCCGACGTTACGCGAGATTTCTGGTCTTTTAGCGACAGACTCGCCGTTTTCGCCCTTAACAATATTTAGGATTAATAAAACATTGAGGGTCGATATATCCCGGCATTCCATAATGATTGATTGAGCTTGAAGTTACAGATATTTCACTTATCTGCTTTGATAGTCCAAAATCCGAAATCTTTGGTTGTCTTTGATGAATTAGGATATTATTCGAATGCTAAATTATTAGAATATTAGCAAATTAAAAATATAAAAATCTAGTAAATATACAATACTTACGAGGTCTCTGTGAATAATATCATTTTATGCAAGAATAAAAGTCCAAATGTTATTTCCTTAGCAATACGTAGTTTATCAGACCATTGCAAATTGATAAAGTTTGCCTCTAGGTATTCTCGTAAAGTTCCTTCATTAGCATATTGCAAGACCATATGATAATGTCCGTTATTGTCTATTTATTTCATTAGATAAAATTCTTGTTTAATATGATAGTTTGGGTGACAACAAACGTTTCTTAATAACTTAAGCTAATTATATGAGTTGTAAGAATTTATTATTCTTTAATAAGATACATTCAAGTTTTAGCATAAAAATAATACCTCTCTAATAAAACCTTTAATGGTATTTTTATTTATATTTTTATCAACCCTAAGGCATTTAAGAGCAACTGTTAAATAACATTCTTCCCATTCATATTTAAAAACCTTCCCAAAAGCTCCAGAGCCAATCTCTATGGGGTCTGTAAATTTATTAAATTCAAGATAGTTGAGATGTTTATCAGAAACGGCTTTTTTAAGCCACGCTGTTGACATTTCTAAAGATTTGATTAAGCATGTAGTTTTCGTTACATCGATATATAAACCAAGAACTAAATGATATATATTACAGAGTCTTTGGTTACTACCCTGAAACTTTATTTTTGCGGGTGATACAACACCCGTTTTCTTGTATTTCCGCCCTTTTTTTTGTTTTTGTATTGCCATCTTCCTTTTTGAGTTTGTATCACTCTCACAAATATATTTATATAATTTGTACAGAGATGCTGGTGAAACTGGTGAAACTAAATATAATAACCTGAATATAATAATAACTAATGAAAAACTCAAATTAAACTCAAAACTAGTTCCACTTAGCTGGATAATTGAGCGACGTAGTGCAAAATAAAGAATGGATTGAAGACCAACTTATTTATCCGTGGCATTGCTATTGAACTTTTATATAAGCGAATGATACCGAATAAAAACTTTATGTTTACGTTTTTATTACGTTTCATTAATCTGATAGTATTATTGAAATTAAATCAATAAGTAAAATGATTAAATTCAATAAATTTCTCTTATGTATTACTGTTAATCAAACGAGTTATTCAGTGTTTATATAGATTGGCAATGTAATTAGGATATTTGCAATCCCACGAAAATGTATTCATATTTTCTTGATCATAGTTTATTATTTTTTTTGCATGAGCATGACTTAGTGCTGCAATTCGTCTTTAACCCCATGTCCAGTTTCACGATATACTGCACTTAGAATTTGAAACTTGATTCGGTATTCAGATTTAAATCCAATATCCTTCGAATTCGGAATAAATCCGAATTAAAATTGAATTTACCGAATCTGCAACACAGCAATACTTTGTAATACGTTACTCAGAAAATATTTACTTCGCTTTCAAATAGATCGCTAACATCTATTCCTGTAGAAAACTAAAATTCATACGGGAAGCATTATCTTATAACCTATTATAACCTATTGTTGACTTACGCATTCCCATAATCTAGTTCTTTACGAGAACTAAAGTTTATATAAGAAGCAATAAGTTTTAACTTTCGGGCTTTATGTCCACTACAATGTATTTATTCTATGAGAATACTAAAGTTCATATGGAAAGTAATGAAATTAAAGCTTTACGCCCTCATAATGATTTAAATCATTGCGAGAGCTAAATCCTATGCGTGAAACAATAAATTATAACTTACATTTTTATGTCTAATCTGTTATGCACTTGTGATATTCTGTAATGTATCTGTGAGAGCTAAAGATTATACTAATCTATTCTCAGGAAGCAATTAATTTTTCTTTATGCTTTCAGAATAGTTCTCACAAGAACTAAGATTCATTTGACACTAATATTAGATAATTAGTAAGGTATAAATAAATACAATAAACATGAGAGTTTGAAAGAAAAAATGTCATCTTTATTTGTTCCTTCTTTTGACCTTGATATTAATGACACTAGTCAGAATATGGCAAATCGTGTACAAATCGGGCATACCTATTTAAAACTGATAGCTACCTGATTGATACCCGATTTTTAAATTCGACAGCCCGATTTATGCCAATTTATGGCGCAAATCGGCACAAAATCGGATATTAATCAAATGAAGTACATCAGTTTATAGTGCTCATGACCCACCTAGTATCGCCACCAAAATCAGATACATACATAAATCCAGAGCTTAAATTATTTGCCAAAATTAAAATTAATGAAATTCAAAAAGTGATACGTATTACATGTCTGATTTTGGTGGTGATACTAGATGCGAATATTTTTCAGACACATTCAAGTCAATCTTAAATATTCGATCACTGACTAATAGAATCTTCAATTTAAATTTAAGCTTTAAAACTTATCGATCTTTGAACCTGAGTATACTCAGTCAAAGTCTTAAATTTTTGAATAATTTAAAGTTTTAATATTACATTACACATATTTATTTAATAAATCAATGGCTTTTGAATTTAAGTAACTATGTAGTAGTGCCATAATTTAAAAAGGTCTGGCCCATTTATTATTATTGTTTATTTTATTTTTAAATAACAATTTTTATTTAATTATTCAAAATATGAGCAAAAGAATTAATAACATTACATTGTAAAATTGCCAATATACTGAGTGTTCCAAAAGTTTTCTTTTTTTAAGTATTATATAAATAACCATTGTCGCTTTAAAAAAAGTGACCGTGTGGAACTTTTGAGACACTCGATAGAATAATTTATCCGAATAAATAATGCATTAGATATATAACTTAATTTCTAAATAAATACCTTAAATGACCTTTGATATTGACTGAACATTCGAAACTTAGGATCTTTTAGTGGGATGATTTGCTTTAATATCCAGATCCGGGACTCAAAATTTATGGTATATCCCAATTTCACTGACACCTCTTTCGCCAACACCAATTTCACCAACAGCCATTTCGCCAACAGCCCATCTCTCCAACAACCCACTTATACCCATTTCCTCGACAAACCACTTTCCTGAATTCATTTCTCTGACATCCGATTTTACTGACAGCCACTTTCTCAATATCTCATTTCACCCACACTTCTAAACTTTAATTAAAAGCTACTCGGTACTTACCTGACTAAATTCGATTAAACTTTTTTATTTTAATTCTGTGAGATTATAGAATTAAAATAAAAAAAAAGATTGAATGACTATATAAGTGTCAAGTAGTCTTCGTTCAAAGTAAACATTCATTAAAGATTAAAAAAATTTGGCCACAGCTTCTTTTTTAAGACATCTAACTTTGAATAAAGACTACTCGGCACTTGCCTGATCAAATTCGACTAATTTTTTTATTTTATTTTAATCCTATAGTTTCATATAATTAAAATAAAAAAATTTAATCGAATTTGGTCAGGTAATTGCTGAGTAATCTTCGTTTAAAGTTTAGGTGCTTATAAATTTTTGTTTACCCAAGAATATATAAAAACAGCTTTAATAGCTGTTGGTGTCGGTTAAATAAGTGTCAAGAAAGTGGCTGTCAGTGAAATCAGATATTGAAGAAATGGATTTAGGGAAGTGGGTTGTCGGGTAAGTGGGTTGTCGGGAAGGTGGGCTATTGGCGAAATGGCTGTCAACGAAATTGGTGTCGGTGTAGTCGTTGGTGAAGTTTACCAAATCCAAAATTTATATTAGTAAAAAAGCTCAAAAGACAAGATGAGCAAGTTAAAAAGATACTCAATGAAATGAGTTCCACAAAATATAAGTGGTTACCTATGTTGTCATTACGATTGATTAATGTCTAAGAAAATTGAAAGCAGCAATAATTATTCTATCCAAAGTTTTTAACAAACTTCGATAGCAGTAGGCTGTTTTTGTGGATCTGAATCCATATATTTCTTAGCCGATTCATCATTAATTCCAAGGAAAGTTCAAGCCACAATTCACTGCGAATCTTTATGAAGTTAAGCATCAGATGCCTCACTGTAAGTAGAAGGCCTTTGTCTAGTTAGTATCTCTGACAAGCTAATATCAAAGCTATGAATATTAGTAGATGTGTAACTTTGGTTTCTGTAACAATAAACAAAATAACTTAACTAAATGTTTTATAAACAATTCTATATCTGAGACATAAGATCAGATTCTTTTATCAGTGCTTTTATCTTAAAGTTTACCATTGTAAAATCTGTATGAATATATCTCGCTTCCTAAATTTTATAAAAGCTATTAAGGGTAATATAGTTTAGTTTAGTCTGTCAGGTAGGATTTTGAAATTCTTTTCTTAAAAACTTATGAAAATTCCATTCTCAGCATATTGAGATACCTTATTCGTTTTTATGCTTTGAGTTAACTCATACGCATTCAACTACTTACTCTTATACTACCTGCCTTTTAGATGATTGCAAACTTAAATTATGGTTCAATGTGTTTAATAAGCAGTACAATTTAACTTACTTCTAATAATCGTGAAACTTCCCTTAAAATCAGGTGGAGATCTCGAATGCAATGGTAATAAGCAAAACTTTGTGAATAGGGTAAGCCTGGTAAAGTACGTGGGTTGTCAAGTATGTCAAGTATGTACATATGGATGTATCATATTTACCAAGTACTATTTACCAGTTAGTACGTTCTTAGCCAATAAAGCTATCATAAATATTGGACAATACTTGCTAAATTGACGCGAATAAAGCTTTATAAATTGAATAGCTAGTCATAAATTCTTTTCTTTTTGTCCACTAAATTAATAGATCTAGTGAGAGACAACGTCAAATACTTGTAAGCTTAATTCAAAACAAACGATCTTTGTACATACATACGTACCTTATTATTACGTCCGCTACTAATAGCTCGAAAGTACTATAAAAAAATTTTATTAGAGTTCACTAGTATATAGTTAAAATAAAGTTAAGTTATTGAAAGAAATTCTATTACAGAATTCATTTGCTATTAACCGTTATATTATATGGTGTCTATAAAATCAACTGTTAGATCAAAAATCTAAACTGTTATATCATAAAATGCTCTTAAATATCGATATGCACTCCTTGCATAAATTAAGTTATCCAATTATCTATTTGATATCTGGATAGTAATTTTTGACGGTTTGGTAAATCGTGTAATGTAGAATTAAACAATTTGTTAAAATCAGGTTAATATTGATATGATATCAGTTCTTCTTATTTCTTCTTATTGCATGCTGATTTATGCCATTAGTTGACATTAATCGGGATTACCTATTTTATAAACTTACACAAATTGGGTTGCTGCATTAATTTGCATCAATCAGTGATATAACAAATTTACAATTTAATATCAATCAGGCATAAATCAGTTTAAAATAAGATATATGCATGATTGTTTGAATTTTGACTAGTGTGAACCAACTTTATTTTCTGAAGCTGAAGCATCTACTTATATGAACTCTATTTTTAAAAAAAAATTACAAGGAATGTAAAAATATTTAAGTAAATGTATCAAAGGTGATAGAATTAATAAAAGTTATATATCCTACTTTTTTAACAAAGACCTCAGGGATAATAATATAGCATATTGCAAAAAATTGCTGATACCTAAAAAAAAACCTATCTCTATAGTTGTAAAGGAGGTATAAACTTAAATCTTACTAATCATTTACATGAAAGCATGGCATAATGATCCATAATTATTATAATTAGGAAAGTGTCATTTATCGCCTGATTTTTTGTAAATAGTAAAATCACCCCTCTTAAATGATTACGATTATATATAAACATATATACATGTGATCTATTAGCATGATATTTTGGCACCCACCCCTGTTAAAAAAATCAGATGATAAATGACACTTCTCTTATTTGGATACAAATAATGAAGCAAGAGTAAGAAATGTGTATAAAAAAATTTTAATTATTTATAGTAACAAAAAATTTTATTTAATAGATAGGATTTACCTGTACTCATAGTAGTATATTGTACTACATTGTGACACTTTTTAAAGCTAATTTTTTGCTAATTTTAAAAATTAACTATTATATTAAATACTATTTTAAAGTAGCTTAAATCTATACAATTGTATATAAATAATTTGGTAGCTTTAAATAATTTTTAGAATTTTGTATGATTTTTTTTTTGTTTGAAAAATTTAGGTTTAATCTAATTTTATATGCTATCTTATAAACTATTTTAACTTATAAAAATTTTTTTTATTAAATAATTTATTTAAATTTTTAACAAAATTTATAAAGATATATTTGCTAATCTCAAATATAAAAAATTATTAAAATTAAATTAATCTATAAAAAATAATTTAGGTTTAAAATTTTTATTATAAAATACTATATCTGAATATATATATATAATCTAGATATAGTAATTTAAACTAATATAATTTAAAATATTTTAGTATAATTTAAAAGAATTTTCATTATTTAAATTAAAATAATAATTTTTAACAATTTTGATTAAAAATTTAAAAAAAATTATATAAATTTTTTTTTAATAATTATACTTATATAGTTTACTATATAAAGTAATGATTTGCAACTAATTTTATGCAAATTACTTACAAACTCTTATATATAAATAATTTTTGCAATATATAACTAATAAAAATTTTTATTTTGTAACAAGTTTTAAATATTTTTTATATAATTATAGTTTTAGTTTATAAAATTTACTAATAAATTTATTAGTATAACTATCTTTAATAGTGTACTATTCGCAGTACATCAAATTTTGCAAAAATTGCAATTTAAAAAAAAATTTTTTTCTCAAAAGGTTTATTATTAATATTAAAAAAAATTTATTTATGAAATTCTATAGTATTTATCAGATTTTTGTATATAAATTTTTTTTTAAAAAATAATTTTTTAGATTTTTTAATTTATTTTGAAAACTGTATTCTGAGTAGTACAAAAGCCTAAATTTAATCCATTAAATTAACTAAAAGAATATCAAATATTTATTTCTCAATGTGTCAAGACTTGGCAAAAAGAAGAGCTAGTGTGAAAAATATAAGTCTCATTCCTAGTTTGATCAACTTACCAATAATCACTTTGAAGGTACTAGAAAGCCTATTTTTATAGAATGTTCTTATGAATCTAAAAGAGCTTATTTTCCAAATACTTCAATTAATAATTTGATAAGATATTTAACTAAGTTTACAGAAATGTATAACAAACCTTTCATTTGGTAAGCGAACACTATAAAAAGATCATTTAAGTGTTACAAAGTTTTTTCTAAGCTAAAATACATAAGGTAAAGCTTTGACTTTAGGTCTTATTTACCTTTTTGTAAACAGTTAATCAGAAGAGATTAATTGGGATGATTAAATCTCTGAGCTTCATAGTACTTATCTATATATCATTTAATAACAAGCGAATATACTAGGGATGTTATCCTGCTCTAGCTAGTTAGATTGTGCTTAAAAACCCATTAGAATACTGTTTTAGAGCATTTATATAAAACTAATTTCTGAACTCAGTTTATACAAATATTATAATAAGTATGTTTGCATAAGCAATTCAATAAAACCTGTTTATTTATTAAGCAAATATATCAACATGAAATTTATATTAAATTTAATTATAAAATTTTGCTTTATAATCTATTACTATTATTTATTATTTATTTATTGTAAAATTTTGCATTTAATGTTTATTGTATTTATTGCTGTTATTTATTTATCAATCTACTTTCATAAAGTCAATAATGCCTACTTCATACCAAGTTTTAAAAAGAGACTTGCAGAAGCATTTTCTTCAAACAACTAATTACATATTGGGTTGATTATATTTTTTGTCTTCAAAAACATTTCTTTACTTGGTACACTTGTTGCTTGTATAACCAATTTGTCTTTTGCCATTTTTGAGAGCCCAGAGTAATGTATATCAGCAAATTGCATCTTTCAGAAGTCTAAGAGATTACAGTTTTCTTTAACAGTAACAAGATATTTTTCAAGAATATCAAAGTAGTGTTTAACTTTTTATTCTTATGTTTTCTAAAATAATTTCTTAAAGAATCATTAGTTTCTTTAGCAATAAATAAGCCAAATTCTTTATATT